AGGAATGAAGGCTGTTTACTATTCCAAATTCCTGGATTACAGGTGGGAAATACCTCAAATAAATAAAGAACTGCTGCACAGAGCCCAACCTTGCTCTAAAGATGCTGAATCAGTAGTTCATTCTAGGAGCTAATGTTCTTTTCCCCGTCTGATACTTTATTACATTCATGAATTCTCCGTGCCCTAAACACCAGCGTTGCTAACCTAGGATCCTTGAACTTGGATGGGGAAAAAATTAAAACGTCAATTTTGGCTAACCTCTAACTGAAATTTAGCTGATCTTGTTACAGATTTAATGGGGTAATAAACATCCCCGTATTACATAATAGTTATTTTTTAAAAAAAATATTTAATCCCTGAATTTGATCATCCTTGCTTCCCCCTGTAATACTCTGTCGATCTGTGTGTTTTATTTTATGCATTAAAAGAAACATTTTTCTGAGAAGGGGTCGCAGGTCTTGCCAGGGTCTCAAAGGGGTCCAAACCAACTAAGAGCCTCTACTGTGATGAGTGTCTTACAAAGGAAAATGACCCAATGACCCTTCTACAACTTCTGACCTACATGCATCCATAGTCCCCCCTACCCTTTTATTATGGTGTAGCCAAGCAAGAACCTTCTAAGTCATGAAGTGCCCTAATACAGGGGTCTCCAACCTTGGCAACTTTAAGACTTGTGGACTTCAACAATATATATATATATATATAACATATATATATTATATATATAATAAGAGAAACATGTTCTCACATTTTTGCAATGTTTTCATAGCAGTGTCAATTAAAGTCATTTGTTGCAAGTAAATCTATAACTTGTTTCCTAAATCCTTACTTTTTTGGGTTATTATTACAATTACAATACAATATTTATTTAATTATATTACTTTACATATATACATAGCTATATATACATTTATCCTTGTTTCCATTTTCCCTTGTGGTTTGTTTAATCGGTTTCACTAGACATCTTTACTTCCTTTTTATACAACTATTTGTACCGTATATTCCAAGTTGTAAAAAACTCGACAGGGGAACCTCTTCTGGTGACACATAAAAATGCATCAGTTGGGGATAGTTCCGAGTTGAATGGACGGATGTAATTGGAAGTAGCAGTGAAGGTGCTAAGGAAGGAGCAGGGAGACCTAGATTCTGGTACCCTGTCAATCATGGAGGCTCCCTGGATCACTTCAGACCAGTTTCTTTCTTTCAGCCAAGGCTATCTCAACAAGTTTGTCTCTGGATGAAATTAGCACGTTGTTAGAGTTACAATACCTCACAGAGATGGAACATGCTTTCCTCTACATATTGGAGAAAACTAAGTTTTAATCCCCAGTCTTTCCACAGCCACAGAAGCTCCCTGGGTGACTTTGGACCACTCATTACTTCTCTCGGTCTCGCTAACCTAGAAGTAGACTCCAATAATCTCCTGAATGTAGTACAGAACATAAATCTAATAAATATGGTAGTTTTTGTTGTTTACAACAACAAAAACTACCATATTCATTAGATTTGTTTGTTTGTTGTAGTATTGGTTTGTGCAGAAGCTGTCATGGTCCCGGATTTTAGAAAGAACGCCTCTTACTGATTTTTCTCAAACAACCACCACAGCAAATGTACTCTTTGTTCTGTCAAAAGGGGAATGGGGGGGGGGAGGAGAGGGGAGGGGGAGAGAGAGGGAAAAGCAAGAGGGGAGAGACAGTGAGGGAGAGAGGGAGGAAGGGAGGGAGAGAGAAGGAAAGAAGGAGAGAGAAGGAGGGAGAGGGAAAGAGAGAGTGGGAGCGGGGAGGAAAGAAACACTTTTAAAGAAAGCCAAGAAGTGATCAGCTCCTGTCCTGGACAGAGGATTCTTCTAGAACAGGAACTTTTCAGACTGGTCTCCATGGAACCCTAGGATTCTGGGAGAACTTGATGGATTAATATGTTACAGACTAAGAACAAAGAAACAAAGCAAAAGAAAAACCCAGAATCCCTCCATCCAACACAGCTAGAAGAATCTGCAGTAAATTTTCAAAGGTAAAATAGAAAGGGCAGAGTTTATTCTCCTGTAGAAAACCACAACAACCACCATTTAGATGGTAACATTTGCAGGTGTCTATGGAGATTCTCAGTCATGATTGTCCCTAAAGTGCTTTTTCAAAAGGCAACTGGACTTCCTTTGTTTTTCTTGAAGACATTTTGCTTCTCATCCAAGAAGCTGCTTCCGTTCTTGAATGAGAAGCAAAACAACTTCAAGGAAAACAAAGGAAGTCTGGCTGCCTTTTGAAAAAGCACCTTTGGGATAACATTGTAGGTATTTCTGCATCCCATCAGAGGATCTGTTGAATGCCTAGTTGGAAAGTTAAGAAGAAAAGCACTAAAACTATGTGCCCAAGAGGGAAAATTATACTTAGAAATGGGAACCAAAGGTCCAACATGCTCCAAGATGGAATAGAATAGAATGAGCTGAAAGGGACCTTGGAGGTCTTCTAGTCCAGCCCCCTGCCAAAGCAGGAGAACCTTATTTCAGATAAGTCACTCTCGACTCTTCTTAAAAACAGCCAGTGATGGAGCACCCACAATTTCTGAAGGCAGGCTGTTCCACTGGTGAATTGTCCATACTGTTAGGAAGTTTCTCCTTAATTCTACATTGCTTCTCTCTTCCATTAGTTTCCAACCATTGTTTCTTGTTCTGACCTCTGGTGCTTTGGAGAATAATTTGACCACCTCTTCTTGTGGCAGCCCCTCAAAGAAGATTGCTTCCTACAGTATGATAGACACTCCTGAACCGTCCACAACTTTGCAGGATTCTTTGTGGTGTTGGCAGATGTGTGAGTGTAAGAGTCCCTTATAGTTTGGAGAAAGAGGGAAGCAGGAAAGCAGAAACTAAAAGGATACCTTTTAGCTCACATTTGATGGATGGAGTCTGGCAGAGAATGAAATTTGTCAACACGGTAACTGGAGGTGTCACCACTAAAGTTTAATATTAAAAAACATGCAAGACAAGAAGATGAATACTGCTTCTGCCTCTTTGTCTGAACTGCAAGGAAAGTAGAGAATGTTGGTTTGTTAAATTGGAGTGTAGGTGACAACACAAAGCAAACTTTAGTGATCAGGAGAGAAATCACATTAGTTAGTGTCACAAATGCTGGAAATCTATCATCCTCCAGGTGCATTTGATAACAATTGTCAGTCTGGACTCTGATTTGAAGGGAATTGCCACACAGCATATTGGAGGCTGGTGCTAATTTAGTAGGTAAGGGGTGTACCACATAGACACTACTCGTTATTAGGACATCACCTCATCAAAACTTTTACTGAAGCCAACAATGTTGAATTATGCAACAGCTAGAAGGCTGCACAAAGTTTGGGTTCATATAACTTCCTTAACATTAATTCTGAGCTAAGTAAACACATGGCTGTGTTCACCCAATAATTTGTGTCCAAACAAATTGTGATTGTGATTTATCATGATAGCCTGGTTCCCACAACCTGTTAAGTGAATGACTGAGTTCCCACAACACCAAGAATAATGAAGTACCCAGCTCTACAATAACTGCAGAGGAGTAAAGATGTTACCTGGGAGAAAATCTTCCAAGGTCAATCTCACATTACATAACACTAGATCAATCAAATATACCTCTGGGACTTCTTGTGTCTGTTTTCCTGATTTAGCCTACCTCAAAGGGCTAACAATAACAGGCTCTAAATAAAATAAATGATAAGAACGCCTTTTGGCATTTGAAATGGGGAGCAGATAGGTGCCTGCAAACTGTACCTCTTCCATTGGGTACCTTCAGATTATGCCTGATCAATTATATCTTGAAGAACCAAGATGAAAGAGGGATCTTTCCCAGCTCATTTTTACTCTTCCCAAAGATTATGGGTTGATGGATGATTGACAACATATGTATTTGTTGGCCATCTGGACAACTAAATCTTCCCGTACCTGGTCTGGTTTATAAGCTCTGAATCAATAATCATCCATGAGTGCCTTCAGAGACAAAAAGGAACCATGTGTTCACAGCGAATTTTTTTTGAAGGATTGTAGATGTAACATTGCACTGATTGCTGTTAAACCAACTCCATCTGTTCAGCTTTTCAAGATCAATGAGCACACATCTCATGCTCCCTTGTTCTTCCAGGGAAGCGATTTTGCTTTTCTATCACTCCACCTTTGTCTCCTTCCTTTTGATTTCCAAGCCAATTTCCCTGTGGGCTCATGAACTCCCTGCTTCGTAGCCTCTTAGAAGTTGACTTTTTTTTTTTTTGCAGCCACTGCTGTTCAAGGTAGTCTTGTCTTGTTGCCAATTGTGGATCTAACGATTGACACATTATTGTTAGGATAAAGGTGTTCCTTCCTGCCCTTCCAGTGAAGTCCCACTTTGAGATCAAACGTTTCCAGAACAAATGTCTTTGGACATAAATTGAACAGGTGATCACAGGGAAGAGCCCTAGCTCAGTTGTAGGGCATTGTTGTTTGCACACCAAAATCCCCAGAGCTGATCCAGGATGGGACAGAGAAAAATGTTGAGAAGCAGGGCCATCCACAGCAAGCCAAGACAAATGACAAAGGATTTGCCATAGCAGGAAACTCAAGTTCTTGTTTTTCTAAGTTCACGGCAGTGATCAGGTGCCCCAAGCAATTGGTTCTTTTGGATCCAGAGATAATAAGCACACCAGTAAATAAAGGGATTTTCAGCTTTATTATTAGCTGGAGCAAACAGATTGAAAAGCATAACATAAAAAGCATACATACCAAGCAAGATAATACCCAAATCTCTTGCAAGCTGCCAGCACAGCAACGGTACTCCAAGGGTAAACCAATTTTTCAACAGTAACCAACACTAGGTTCCATGCAAGAGCTCCCAACTAACAACCATAACATTTTTATCAAAACCTGACACCATGATTTCATGGCTGTGCTCTTGTTGGGTGACTACAAAGCCTGGTTTTGACTGGGTGTCCCATGACTCTAGAATAGGAATCAAAAGTCTGAGATTTTCACAGTGGGAAAAGCTTTGAACCTACATAAAGATTCTTCCCCTTCTCCTTTTTTCAGCAAATAAGAGTAAAAATAATCAAGCAAAATAATTCAGAATGAGCTCTAAACTTCTAGACTTTTCTTACTATGAAGCAGAATATGTCACTAAACTCCTTGGAATAACAATAGTCTTCTGCATTAACACTACAGTCCTGCACCTTATGGTCTTGTAGGAAACATTTCAATATAACCACAGAAGGGGCAGGGTTTGCATCATAGTGCATATTTCGTCATTTGACCATAGAGTCATAGGGCTGGAAGAGACCTTGGAGGTCTTCTGGTCCAACTCCCTGCCCAAGACAGTAGACATTATTCCATCCTGGGGAAATGATTGTCCAATCTTTTCTTGAAAAACCTCCAGTGATGGAGCATCTACATCTCCAGGAGGCAAGCTGATTAATTGTTATCACTGTCAGGAAATTTCTCCTTAATTCCAGGTTGGATCTCTCTTTAACAAACTTTTGCCCATTGCTTCTTGTCCTGCCCTCAGGTGCTTTGAAGAATAAGTCAATCTCCTCTTCTCTGTGACAGCCCCTCAAGTACTGGAAGATAGCTATCATGTCACTCCCAATCCTCTTCTTTACTACGCCAGACATATCTAGTTCACTTAATCACTTCTCATATGGTTTAGCCTCCAGATCCTTATCATCTCCACACTCTTTTTAGGGTTTCGACATATTTTTTTTTTTTGTATCATAGTGACCAAGCATTACTCCCTCACTTCTCGGAGGCCTATGCGCCTATGAAACTTTGCAAATGTTTGTATGGACAACTTTGGAGTGTGTGCCTGACATGTACATGTTTTCTGGGTTCCTGACAGCTAGAGAAAGAGCATGAAGCAGTTTGGAAGAAGCTAGATAAGCTAGATTGGAAATTTAGGGTCCTATAGATACTCACAAAAACACAAAAATGACTAGCCAATTCCCAGAGGAACCACTTGTGGTTCTCCTCATTTCTAGTCCTTCAGGATGCTGTCCACCTGTTCATTCTACCAGGGAACACTTACTTATGGCACATAGCATATTGTTATTTATTTCTATCACTTACTTTATTGCATTTTTATCCATTTCTGTCGCTGCACTTTGTTTTCAAAAGGCTGTCAAATCATCAGATCAATTTAGCGATGTTCAATTTATTTTGAATCAATTTGGAGGTTCAGTTCAGAATCTCAAACTAAAATTTCAGATGAACCCAATCTGCCTGGAAGCCCCACTTTCCTGCCCATCTTAGCATTGAAGTGGCCCCACAATGGAAGCCCAATTCTGAGGACATGCCCTCCCCAAATAGTAAGTAGCCCATTTCAAAGATGGGGCCAAGAAATTAACTGGATAAACCCTAAATCTTGAACATAGTATAACAAAAAAGAATTTTCACGTTCATACAACATGCAGTGCCAAGATACCCTGTTATATCTTAACCTGATTACCTACATTAACCTAGTTTAGCATGTTGTATTAACTCAGCCTTGGTGTTCATACTGATAAGGAAATGAGGGACAATATCTTTTCCTTTCATCAAACTAATATTTTTCCCACTCTACCTCTATTTGAGTAGATGATAATAAAGGATATAAATTATAGTTACCTACATCTCATTTATGCATAATGAAACACTTCTTAAGGGTAAGTTCTATACTGCAGTTGAAGAATTCATCTACTATAGATGCTGTGATTCTTCAGCTCCAAAGGTTTTCAAGAAGAGACTGGATAAACACCTCATATGGACCACTGAATCGGTTTCCCTACAGATTGCAGAGGGTTGGACTAGATTGGTGTTTCTCAAGCCAGGCAATTTGAAAATGTGTAGACTTCACCTCCCAAAATTGCTGGCTGGGGAATTCTGGGAGTTAAAGTCCACACATCTTGAAGCTGCCAAGGCTGAAAAAATCTAGGCTAGATCCTTGTGGTTCCTTCTAATTCTACACTTCTAGAAACCCCAAAGTCAATCTTTCTCTGTGTTGGTGCCCTTTGACCATACTGAGAGTCCACTTCCAAGCATTCTCCATCAATATACCTAAAAGAAATAGGGTAAGAAATGGCATAGTATCCCTGAAATGGGAAGTTCCATTTAATAACACAGTAGCGACAACTGGAGGCATCCTAACCTAGCAATCTTCCGCCTCAAGTTTGGACTAGTTCCATCAGCTCAATATGGCCAGGCCTAAGAAGTGTTTCCTTTTATCAGTCACGAATCTACTCTTAAACAATGTTGTGTTTGCTTTTGTTTTGGCACACAATCTAAATTTCAGTGGTGACAAAGGTCAGACTAATGGAAGTTATCTCTATGCACAGATGCAATTATGTTCAGTTAGACATTCATTAAGGAGACTGAGAGCAAAGACTCAACAGAGGCATCCATCTTCTTCCGAGTCTGATCCCAGGAACATGTTCCATCAGGATCTAGCTCAGAAGAACTGATTCTGAATAAGAAGTTCAGATTTCCTTGGTGGAAAGGTACTATAAACCAACCCTGAATTTTTTTTAACCAGATACCATGAAAAAAATCACTACTCACAGATAACTTGTATTTCCATAGTATTTTAGTTATGCGTAGTTCTTCACTTAGTGACCTGCCTGCAAGAAAGGACCTATTATCCATTCCTGAAGTTCCCGTAGTTGCCCCCTCCCTCCTTGTGGTCATGTGACCCCATTTCAAGCATTCGTCAACACGGCTGCATTTGTGGCTGCTTGCCACATCCTGTAGTCACATTATCATGTTTTACAATGTTTTTGCTGGAAACCAGAAATTACTTCCAGTTTTTTGGCAGAACTGCTACTTAGCAAACCATAAGTTCCCTTGATGATCGCAGTGTTTACTTAACAACAACCATGTTCACTGCTGCAAAAGAGAGCACAATGGCTGCTCTCTTTTGCAGTCATGTGATCAATCTGTTTTATAAGTGTCGTGATATACGACCATAATGGGCAGGCCCCATAATGGCAATATGTTGAGAACTACCTATTCTGATCCAGATCTCCAAACACGACAAACCGTCTGAAGTGAACTCAAAGATTCCTTTAATTATGAGTGCAAAAAAGGTTCTCTCTCACCATAGGCTAGCAAGGCCATCCGGCTGAAAGATGAATAGTTGTCTGCCACACCTATTCATCTCCGCCCCCCGCCTTTTATCCTCAGAACTAGGGTGCAGCTTCGCTAGCAGTGCTGGCTCTTCCATCCCAAGGAGTGGCCCATAGATTTCCACTGCTCTCCTCTCCTCTGCCTTCTGCGCATCAGGCACTGGGCCCAGCTGTTTCTCCTCTTCCTCATCAGCCACCTCCAGACCTGGGGGCTGTTGACTCTCCATCTGAGGGCTGAGGGAGGGCCCAAACTCCACCTCTGGCCCCCTTCTGCCATCTCCATTCCCTCTTCCCCCTCGGAGCTTCCAGGTTGCCCTGATGCTGACCTGACTCCCAGGCCTCCTCTTCCTTTGATTTGGCTGCTGGAGGGGCCGGCAGCTAACAGGCCACAACACTACCTGTAAAACTTTGCTTAGGGACTTCTTATATTTGGAAAATACAGGAAATCCTAAGAAGCATTAATGTATACGCATGTGAATAAGCCCATCTGCAGGTAATGTAAATCTAATTTTTTTATGAATTTTGGCACCTAAAATTCTCAGCTTATCCATGAGTATATAAGGTATTGTGCAAAATGTTATGTTTTAAGCATTAATGGTCAGAATTTATACATTATGCTCTGGGAACTGAATAAAATAGACTTAAAAAGAATTGATTTCTATCAAAAACTAGAGCTAGTCTTCTGACAAGTATATATGCAAATCAACATACACTGCTCAAAAAAATAAAGGGAACACAAAAATAAGACATCCTAGATCTGAATGAATGAAATATTCTTATTAAATACTTTGTTCATTATATAATTTAATGTGCTGACAACAAAATCACACAAAAATTATCAATGGAAATCAAATTTAGCAACCCATGGAGGTCTGGATTTGGAGTTACACTCAAAATTAAAGTGGAAAAAAACACTACAGGCTGATCCAACATGTAATGTCCTTAAAGCAAGTCAAAATGAGGCTCAGCAGTGTGGCCCACTGGAGGTCATTTTGCGGGGCTCTGGCAGTGCTCCTCCTGGCAGTGCTCCTCCTGTCCGGAGGTAGCAGTCCTGATGCTGGGTTGTTGCCCTCCTACGGCCTCCTCCACATCTCCTGATGTACTGGCCTGTCTCCTGGTAGCGCCTCCATGCTCTGGACACTACGCTGACAAACACAGCAAACCTTCTTGCCACAGCTCGCATTGATGTGCCATCCTGGATGAACTGCACTATCTGAGCCACTTATGTGGGTTGTAGATTCCGTCTCATGCTACCACTAGAGTGAAAGCACCGCCAGCATTCAAAAGT